CAAAGTTTAAAACTTTATTTAATTTATTTAATAATCAGTTTAATTCAATTCTCATTAACACGTTTAATAATCATAATAGTTTGTCAGTTTCTCACTAGTCTTTAATTTAACTTAGGTTTGATCAGTTATTATTTGCATGCCAATAGTTGTTTTAATTATTTTTAATTATTTTAATAAATAATTATTTGTTGTTCTGTGTTTGTTATATTAATTCAACATAATAAAAATATTCATTTTGCTGGTTTTTTTTTCATGTAATTCACTTTAGGTTGTAAGGATGGAAATTTTAACTAATTTCCAACCTACATACAATCACTGTGGAGTTAATATCTACAATGAAAACTGGTTAATTTTTATTGTAAATTTAAAACGTAAACAACTTACCATAAACCCACCCCCGCATGCACGTAATTGCACCAAATGAACAAACCTAAGATTACATTGAAAATGCAAGTAATATAAAATATATTTAAACAAATAAATAAAACACTCACCTTTAATATTTGTAATATTTATTTATTTAATAATAAATATTTATAAATAAATAAATTTATTAATAAATAATAAACCACACACACCGGCACTATATAGAAAAAAAAATAAAAAACACGTTTGTAAACAAGACAAAGCATGAAAGCTTTGGTTGAACTAAAAACAAAGCACGGCGAATTCAAGAACACACGAAAACACAAAGCACAAAAATTACACCCAGGCGAACAACAGCAGCAAAAGACAACAAGTATCAAAAATACCAACGGCAAATGTACCAATGCGCTACAGGAAAAGATTCGGTCATTTGAGTATAAATAAACGCGCATTGTACAAGCAAGGGCACTTGTTGGGAAACTCTCAAAGGTAGTAATACGTCTTTGCGAAACAAGTCAGTAGAACTATAGTGTCAAGGTAGTATATACGTCTTGACAAGTAGATTGTATATGTAGTCTTATATGTAAATCAAGCCAAGGTAGTCATGATACAGCTTGACTAGTAGAATTTTCTGTAGGGGTAGTAATACGTCCTAACATTAATGCTAACCAAGGCTGTAACCCAGCATAACACTTCTAATCTCTAGATAACGACGTCTTCTGACAAAACACCAAGATTAGCACAAGTAGTGTCGTTTGACAGCAACATTTCAGGCACGTGGAAACAACAATCGGAACAATCATCGAAGCACAATTATTCCAAATAATTGTAGTCATCAAATTAGCAAACTAGCATTATATTATAATTATATTAGATTGTAAATCTTATTTTATTTTAAATTCTCCTAAATAAATAATTGAATTACTATATCACATTGTCTTTGACTTCCAAAATAAAAATTCTATTGCAGCGACCCCTGGACGACGGCTGAGTATACCTCAGTAACATCAACGACAAAAGTGAGTCGTTACAAGGTTTCAAACGTAGATGTTACCAGCCATGCCCGCGTCTTATCAACGCAAGGATCACAGGTAATATCATTGTATTTTGATTTCGATAATTATTGTAATGAATTTTATCATTTCCAGGTGGTACAATGGAATTCATTGAAGGTGAGTTCTCATGATGACGGTCTGACGTCAGATTTGTTATGTGTGGTAAAAATTAGACAGGAACAATTTCAACCTTTACAAACCTCAATATAATTTTATATTATTACCGACTTCATCAATGATTACTTTTAATGTTACCAGTTTTGTTTTAATTAGTTTCACTATTCTTTAGTTTTAAACTCTTCCTTTTTTCTACATATATTAAATAATTAATATATTGATGTTATTTAGAACTCTTTTTTGATGCTTATAAGTTCAGTTAACTGCTATTCACTGCTTTTAACTACTATTAACCCATTAAGTACCAGGCAAGTTCAATTTTATGGTGAAATTTTCAGAAAGGTTTTCCAGAAAAAGTCAACCACACGCTGGGGCCCATAGCACTTTTTTCTCTCTTCGATAGTACAAACATTTTTATATCTGTTTTGTTCGCAAATATGGTATTTAATTACTTTTATGGTGAAGTAAGTATCGTTGTAAGTTGGATAAAGTACACGTACGTATAAAATTCAATGTTTTATTTTCACATGTAAAAACTGTGGCTTTTGGTGCACGAACAATACAGCGGTGGCAATTTTGAGTTTTTATGGAAGCGTGCATACCGGTTACACATAGTGAATTTCCCGTAAGATCAACATCTTCTCCTGCACTGTGACTTTCCTTTTTCAAATCATCGTAAGCGGAAGCTTTTGTAATGAACATTGAGTTCTCTGATGCAAGAAGAAGGTTTATGGCAATGAAATTCTTGAAGTCTAACTGAGGCATCGATTTTCTGTTGTTAGAAGCAGCGACGAAGCAATTTAGTTTCCAAGCGTTTACTACAGCGCTATCTAAACACTGCACACATAATGACCATTACCACTTTTGCTTCTATTTCCAATACGACAGTTAACAACTCTATTGTCATGTAAATCGAAGCCGCCCATGTGTCAGTAGTAACATAGCTGTGGATAACTTGAGGCTGGTGGACAATAACCTTTTTTTTTCTCTCTGCTATAGTGTTGCACATTTACTATGGCTTCAATGGCATGATACAGTATTTCGCAATAGATACTCACAATGGCTCAATAATTCCTTTGGAACAAATGCACCGATTCCCAATTGTTTGTTGTATTAATAAAATTCTAACGTCGCTATTTCATCATAGTCAATTATAATTTTATTTACAGTAAAAAATTGACGACAGAACTTTTAGCGTGAACAAATATAAGCCCTATAGGTATAAAACAATCAAATTCAGAAAAACTCAACCAGCAATCAAATTTCAAAATAGACTTATTACTATTATGCATAGTAAAAAACACAAGTTTAAGTTAGAAGAGTATGATATTTATTAGAGAGATTACTCTCATTTTATTTTATTACCTAATAATATTACCTAATTAATAACAAACATTTCTATTACTTTGTTTCATCATCATAGTATTATCGGACCCAGCGTGTCCGATATACTTTTATATATTTTCAAATAATTTTCAAAG